TGGCAAGGTAAGATCTTAATTAGTGACCCGCAAACGGAAAAAAAGTCGCGACACCGACTGGTCCCTCTTTTTTAGTGTCACGTTGTGGGGAAACTCGTGGATAAGTCTAACCTCTCCCTTCTACAACTAAAATTCCTGCAAAACTTGTTTCGTTTTTTTAGACTGTAAATGAGGTTGACTTAGAAGCCAAGCTCACATCATATTTCTAAAGGGTGCGTATGACTTCTCTCAGTAGTCGCCACCTAGTCGGTCAAGTAACACTTCGGAAGCGTGCGTTTGGCACAAGGATCTCCTGTAATAAGCTCCAAAAATAGCAGGGAAACGAAAGATCCTAGAACTTGTCTTACCTGATAAAAACCGTCCAAAAGCTCCTCAATTGGATAGTGGTATAACTGTTGGTTGTGGATCACACTGAGCACATACTTCTGGGTTGATATACTATATCGGATTAAAAAAGTCCCATTCTGTCCAGTGTGCTTAAGGAGGCACTCAGTATCTTCGCGAGATATATTTCCGTGGAACCAGTGGCTAGACGGAGCACTGCCTGAAGGTGGTCCAGACGGTTTAGATGGCATGTTATATGATGCTTTTGCTGTTGTTTGAAGACGGGCTGCAAATGCAGTAACTGGAATCGGTCTGTGAATTATGCGACCGCCAATTTCCCTGGAACCTGAGTTTGGCGTTTGATTGGAAAAACTTGTGTGTGGGTGAAGCATGGAGAAAGACAGTAGAGCGAAGAGGTGTCGGCCAGAAAAGAGATAATGACTAAGAGCAGGGTTCTGATTTCTGTAAGAATAAATCGGCACAGAAGCATTGAACAAACGTCGCAAATAATAAGGATCAGCGAGCGTAAATGCGACCCCGGCTCTTTTACCAAGTAGTTGTTTTGTCGACCAGTCGAGGTTCAGTGTCCTTGAATTGAACAAAGAAACCGATATCAGTATTATCCAGCAACTTATGATGGTTTTGAAATTGGAAATTTTCAATAAAACATTGTCTTGCAAGGCAAATTTTGGCATCCTCTAAAGGCTTTTAATGTCCTTTTAGCCAAAGGTGGGTAGTGGCCCAACCATGCAAAGAAAGGGGATGAACCAGAAAGCTGGGAGCGAAATATCTGCTTAAATGGCAATAAGGCGTTTATCGATTTGTTTGCGTAGACCGGAAGCATAAGTCCAAAACTGTTTTGGACGATCTGGTGCAATCGATGACTATGTTGAATCCCCCTGGCATCCGAGATACCCAAAAAAGGAGGTGGCTGTTGTTTTTGCCAGTTTATCGACTGGGCAGCAAACAATTTCGCAGGAGTAATCGCACAAGTCAAAACTCAGATACAACGACGAACAGCACTAACTGGGTTGATGGCCACTGCTCTCCCTCACCATATCACTGCCGAACGCAAAAATGATACGATTTCGAGGTGGCAATTATGAGAAGGAATTGTTAATATATGTATGTTTGAGGCCTCCGCCGATTAAGAATTCGATAAGGATGGACTGCCGTCAGTTTCGACAGGTCACCTTACCGATGTTCTATTTTTTATCGTTTGCTCGTGTCGTCGAACCGTCAGCGACCCCCATTCTTCCATTCACTTGAGCGGACAACTACTCTGCGTAGAGGCTATGAGAACCGAAAGAACTCACGCAAATCATGTCGGTTTGCCTAATGTCCTAGGGTAGTCTGATTTGCCATGCCCCCATTCCCCCTTTGTGTGTACTCCCACAGAACCAAATATCGTTTACCAGCATGCGGATGCTCCCAGGTGACCTGCAGAAGAGCAGGAAAGCTTTAAATAGAGCTGCACGAAACAGATATCAGCACACTGTGTGAGCGAAAAGCAAACTAGAATGTAAAAAAGGAGGCTTCCAATGAAGCGAAGGCTGACTTTTGAAACTGGTTAGAAGGAAAAATGAAAAATAACGCAGGCCTATTTCAGGAGTATACTAGAGCTTTATTTGAGGACGACGATTCGACTGCGATTTGCAAGGTGTACAGAATAATGGGAGGCTCAACCGATGAAGCATTCTCCTCCAAAGTCTTTGGCACGTTTGTGAGGCCGCATCTTGAATATTCAATCAAGGCCTGAATACCTTGGATGCATCAGGATTTCAATCTATTCGAAAGGCTGCCGAGACAAACCACAAAAACAGTAAGTTCCCAAGATGCACTGACGTACGAGATTCGCCTAAATAATTTAACGTCAATTCTTTCGGTTATAGGCAGTCGTACATTTTCGGAGCCCACTCCTCCGGAGACAGCCAATAACACTGAGTACAGTTGACAAGCAGACTATATAAGAGATCGTTCCTATCTGCCAAACCGACCATTGAAATTGATGGTCAACACAGTAACGTCCATTTCGATTGAACAAAGGTAGGCTCGAAAGATAATGGTGGGCTGAAAAACTCACATGAGATATTTAGCAACTTCGACAAAAAATCGTTCGGAAATCTGCCCGAGCTAAACTCCGCTTTCTTAGTGTAAATTCTCAAAGTTTGTTCCAGAAACTAGATGAGCTGCAATCGTGGGTATCAAATACCCAGCCGGATGTCATTTACATCACAGAGACTTGGTTACAAGTTGAGGCCCTGGATGCCGAAACTGTACTCGATGAATGCCAACTCTTTCGTCGAGACAGGCTGCATAAAATGGGGCGGGACTAGCAATCAACTTCAAGAGCGGAATCGTCGCGTCAGAACACAAAAATGATTGCTCCCGTGACTGTGAATCAAGGTTGTTAAAACTAAAGATGCGTAACGCACCTAATCTGAGTTTCCTGACCGCTTACAGGCCGCCTAGTTAAACGAGATAATGTTTGAGCTAGCTGAGCTAGCTAGAGGTGACGCAAAATCAAAAGCACTAATAAACAGATATTTCAACGAACCGATGGCCGACTGGAACAATTTACTTGTAAATGGTTCGCGAAATTCCTTTGATTCCAGGCTCCTGAAACCAACAGCTCGCAACGTTCTTGGTAATATAAATTCCGCTGTTCCGGGGCAATTCTTTCTTAATAAAATAATTTTGGATGGGCTCTATTTTTTCCGCTCAGTAGCACGCATTAGTCCAGTTGAAAACGAACTGTATTCCAGGCCAGGTCTAACGTACATGCTACAAAGACGCATTCTAATATCGATTGTTTTGAAATTTCGGAGGATAAACCTGGTCTTTTTACGTGATTTTGAGACGATCAGGCAGCGTGCTCTGAAAGATTAGGCTCTTGGTGTATGATACACTGGGATCCTTAATAACCTCAGGCACATTTATGTCGTGACCGTCAATACGTAGCTGAGGTTGGTGGTCGTGTTCAACCACCATGACCGAACCCTTATGCCAAGAAAGAGAAAGACGCCATGTGCGGCACCACTGGGCAGAGGCTAGTAGGTCACTCTTTAAGAGATCAGACGCGATGTCACGATCTGCCGGCTTATATCTGCACGCAACTTTCGGATTATCAGCATACATGAAGGGTTTAGCATTCTGAAATAGATCTGGCACGTCATTGACAAAACGACAAAATAATGGCGGGCCAAATACACTACAATGAATGACTCCACTCCAGACACATGTGGGGTTGGATATAGCATAAGAAATCTAAACCCGTTTTGTGCAACGTCCAGGCAAGAGGATATAAAATTCAGAAGTTTGTCATCTACTCAGAAAGAGGAAAGTTCCAAGAGAGGAAGAGCATGGTCACCACGATTAAAAGCCTTGGTGAAATCAGAATAGGCCGCGTAATGGGAAAAACCATTATCCCTAGATTGGGGAACGTGATAAAAGAAAGGGAGCTGACAAGTGTCACAAGGCCGAACTTTGGGGAATCCAGGCTGACCAGCACTCAGTCGGTTATTCTCTGTCAAGTGACTAATCATCTTATCTTTGATCAATATCTGTAGGATTTTCGAAACTGCGGGAAGGGTGTTTATTGGCCGACAGTCATCTAATGGCATAGATTGACCGTGTTTGAAGATAGGCAAAATATGTGATTTTTCCCATAACGTAGGGTAGGTTTCACTTTCAAGAGCGAGAGTAAATATCTTGCAGAGGAAGGACTATAAAATTTCATTTTAATATGTTTTGAAAGTGCTAGTTGGGACACCATCACTTTATGGGCCAGGAGATTGACGAAAACGCCGAATCCCCTCAGTCACGTCCCATAGGGTGAAAGCTATAGTTTTGAGAGCGACCCCGGTCAAAGCAACGATTGTCGGAAGCACAACGGTCGAGATTTCGATAACAGCTTCAAACTAGAAATCCTTGAAACGATCCGACCCAATGTCATGATTATGGGCGACTTTAACGCTCCGAATATCGACTGGAATCTGACTTCTGTCCCAAGCTCAGAATTTAACTTTGATCGCCGCCTCTTAAAATCAGTGCAAAGATCGCATCTCACACAACATGTCTTATCCCCAACCAGACTACGTAAAGGACAACTAGCTAACTGCTTAGGCCTCTTATTGACAAAGGCACCGGAAAGCGTTGATGTCGTAAACTGTCTACCTCCTCTTAGAAAAAGCGACCATGTAGTCCTACAGTAGGAGTATTCTCTCTTCTCTATACCTGATCAAAGCATCGTGATCAGACGCAACATACGGCGTGCCGACTTCAACCAAATGCGTCTCGACATGCGTCGTAGAGACTGGAAAGCAGCATTTACGGCGTGTGTCCTCAAGGACTGGCTAGAACTTAAGGCCGTACTGAATGAACTTATCACCGGCTACTGCCCTATGCTGGAAAGGAAAATCACCAGCAGGCTCCGATGGCTAAGGAGTTCGCTAAAAGTTGAGGTAAACCGTGAGCAAAAGCTGTGGAAAGCTTATCTTAGGGATAAGAAAATTGAATCAAGGAATAGGTACAAGGTTAAGTGGAAAAGGATAAAGTCCCTTGTTTACGAAACCCGCCAATACTTCGAGGGTAACCTTTTAAACTGTGCAGGAGAAAACTCAAAGCTTTTCTTCAACTACATAAGACAAAGTACTTGCAACAGGGATCCCATCCCTATGTTAAAAAGGGATGATGGCGTTGAACTTTACAAGGACGACGAAAAGGCTGAGCATCTGCCCAGGTTCTTTCCACCGGCTTTTACGAGAGAAGTCGCTCTACCCACTGATCACTATAATGTGGACGATATTCAGAAAATGGACTCAGTGGTTCTCACAAAAGCTATTGTTCAACAAGAATTACTGAAGCTAAAAGAAGCGGCATCGCCCGGTCCTGACGAAATACCGGCAAAGTTGTTGAAGGAATTAGCCACAGAATTGGCAGAACCTCTGTGTCCCCTCTTCCAAGCCTCTCTTGATGCAGGCAGACTGCCTCCTGAGTGGAAGACTGTGTGGGTTTCGCCGATACATAAAAGTGGCGGTCGCGCTTCCACAAACAACTACCGACCAGTAAGTCTCACCTCCGTATAGAATAGAATAGGCTTATTGTAGCGCCCCTTGGGCACTGTCGGTCCCCTTTGAACTCAGGAAAAAAAACCTAAAACAAACTCGTATGCTGCAAAGTTATGGAGCGAATTATCAAACACGAACTGATGCGGTTTTTAAAGCAACATCATCTTCTATCCGATACACAGCACGGGTTCTGCAGGGGAAGGTCCTACTTGACCAGTCTACTCTACTGTCCTGAACAGTGAACCCGAGCGATTGATAAGGGAAACGTTGTGCATGTGGCCTACATAGACTTCAAGAAGGCCTTTGACAGCGCGCCCCACCAACGTCTCCTATACATGTTCAGCCACATAGGGGTAAGGGGCAAGCTTTTGAAGTGGATTGAAAACTTTTTGATCGGTCCGTCTCAGCCTGTCCGTCTTGGTGGCCAGCAGTCGGCAAAGGTAACGGTTAAGAGCGGAGTACCTGAGGGCTCCGGTCTTGGCCCTATCCTCTTCCTCATCTATATTGATGACTGTATCCATGGATTGGACTGAGACATTGCTATGTTTACTGACGATATAAAGCTTTGGACCGTCACCTGCAACGACGACGATGAATCAAATCTACAGACAAACTTAGACCGACTCGGACAATGGTCAAGTCACTGGCTCCTCCCATTTAAGGTTACCAAATGCAACATTCTGAGGACTGGCAGAACCAGATCTGCGAACCGGAAGACGTACTATCTAAATCGCACACCGCTGCCAGTGGTAGAGGTTCAGAAGGATCTAGGCGTTTGGATAACATCTTCACTAAGCCATCATTCCACTGCTTGAAAGCAGCGAAATCCGCAATGTCCAGCTTATATCTCATCAGACGGGCATTTGCCAAGTTCGACGAAGAGTGCTTTCGCAAGGTCTTCGGGATGTTTGTGCGCCCACAGTAAGAATTTGCCATTCACGCCTGGAGACCCTGGTCTGTTAAAGATCGTACCACCCTTGAAAAAGTCCAATGACGGGCAACCAAGCTTGTCAGAGGTCATAAAAAACATACCTTTCGAAACTAGACTGTCAAATCTTAACCTCTTTCCCTGGACTACAGACAACTACATGGCGACTTAATTCAAACGTTTTGAATGCTACGGGGCCAGGATTGCTGCCTCGCATCCGGCGACTTCTTTCAGCTGGCCACCACTACTAGCTTGAGAGGAAATTTTCTAAAAGTACGTGTGACAAGTGCGAGGCTGGACGCGAGGAGGTCTTTCTTCAGCCACAGTGTGGTAAAGGCGTGGAATGCCCTGCCTGTGGACGTCGTCATGTCCTCATCCGTGGACTCATTTAAGAGAAAGCTCGAACAGCACAGGGATATGTACCTCCACGGCATCAGAAACTAACAATTTTTTTCCTTTACCACCCGCCCCCGAAAGTTTTCAGTTACAAAACATGCTACTCCCTATATTTTACTAGCATTATCTTTTGACTTTTCGCTATCTCCTGACCGAATCACATGCGTTTGCTTCGATATTACTTGGTCCATTCAGTACAGTACTGTTTATTGTACAATTTTGACATAGAAGGCATTCACAGACAAATTTATATCAGTGACCACTGCTTGTTGTATGGAATTACTTACCTATTTTTTGACCCTTGCCTTATACGTCGTTTTTTATGACGTTATTGTAAACAAAAGGGGCGTTCAAAGGCGCTCGTCTACCTTTTTCTTAATAAATTTGTTCTGATCTGAATAATCAACTGTAGGTTAGCTATAGGATTACCAAGAGCGTCTCGGAGGATGGGAGACTGCGTTTTTACGTGAGCTTCCGAGAGAGAAGTTTCGGGACTTTTAGCAAGCGGTTTTTAAAGAAGTGTAAGTATTTGACTAGCCGCTTTTCTTCAGACAATATCTTTGCTTGCTCAAAATACCACAAATCGAGGGCAGAACGTAAACATCATCCTGAAGACGAAATCGACGAGAAAGTTCGTGCAATCTACGGTGAAATGGTGAGGGCAGGAAAACCTTATCCTCGGCATTAATTGTTTTCCCGCGTGGAAGAAAACTAGAAGTAAGTAGACCTAGGATTTCGTTCAGCGTGGAGATGAAATCATTTGCATCGGAACTTAGGAATAAATCAGTTCAGAGCTAGAAATCGGATGCAAAAAATGGAAATTGCAGAGTACGATTAGTGAACAACAGGCATAGACTAGCAGAACTCAAAATGAGATGGCAGCAGGCAGTTCTGAGAAAAGAGGCATGTATATAAGGAAATTCAACCAAAAAACAGGGGCTTAAAACGTTAGGTCTCACAGAAAAATCACTTAAAATAATATCCTCCACTTATCTTCAAATTTCAGCACTGCATCTTAGTACACGGTAATGCTCTTACGGTTTTTATTTCGCCACTTTTCCTGTAACATACAGATCCCGTAGAGAAGCCAGTAAACAACAAAAATGGCCTATAGATTAAAAGTGACTTCCGGGATTTCTTAAAAAGCCTGAAGAGAGCGGCACATAATGGTCATCTATCACGCATATGGCCTTGTGTATTGCTGCTCACTTAAACATATGGGGAATATCAACTTACATCTCCCTTTCCGTGCTTCTTCCTCCAGCTCGTTTCGCGCCTACTTCTCATTACAATTACTAATCGGTTATTTTCGGCTTTTTCGGAGCTATCTTTATTTAGGTACCCAGAGTGGTCACGTGTTGCATTGTCAAGTTGTGCCTTACGCTCCATTTTTTGGTGGTTGGTCAGTTCAGTTCAGTTTATTGAGGGAAATAGGCGTAAGCCTTTGAGTACCCTATTTGCAACGTAAAAAATGTGTGGTGTACAGATAGATGTTCTGGGCTGAAATAGTTCGAACACGCCCATAATGGTGGGTAAAAATGAGAAGGAGTTACAGGGGTGAGCTCGATTTCTCATCGCTCTTGGTCATTTCGGAACATAAATATGTCCAGATTCTTCTTAAAAATTTGTATAGATGGTGACATCACAACATCTGCGGGAAGCTCATTCCATGGTTTGACCACCCGAACCGCGAAGGAGAACTTCCGCACATCCAGCCGTGCCTGCTGAGTGCGCAGTTTTAACGGGTGACCTCGGAGGTTGGTCGTGGTAGCAAATTCAAAAAAGTCTTCGAAGGCCAGACTGCAATCCAACCCCTTTACAATGCGGAAGGCTTGCAAGAGATCTCCGCGAAGTTGCCTGTAACTCAAAGGAAAGAGGTTCAGATTTGGTAGGTGGGTTGCATAAGGAAAGGAGCTTTGACCCCTAACCATCTTCGTGGCTCTCCTCTGGACTCTTTCGAGGCAGTTTTGATCCACAACAGCCCACGGCCTCCAAGCTTGAATGCCGTACTCTAAATGCGGCCGGACGAATGTTCCGAATGTCTTAGAGAAAGCTTCTTCGTCAAAATCCATAAACGCACGTTTGATGGCGTACAGTACGGACATTGCTGTTTTTGCCACCCTCGAACAGTGGGCGGATGGTTTTAGGGAACTCGTTGTCAGCACACCGAGGTCCCTTTGGGCTTCGACCTCTTGTAGGGCTGCACCGCCCAGAAAGTAGCCTCTTGTGCTGGCGGATCTGGCTGTGTTGCCTAGGCGAAGTATGCTACATTTGGCAACGTTGAGTAAGTCTCTGCAACTTGTTTTCGATTTATGTGGCCGCTATTCGAAAAGCTTGTCATCAGTATCCGGTCGAAATTCTTTGAGATTTTCGATGAGCTCCCGAGTATGCGTTTTGGGTCAATTAAAATCTCGAATTTCCACAGTGCATGGGTTAAACCTGGAACTCTGAAACTCGACCTCTTCTAATTATGTTGCTTTAGGCGGCGGAAGAGGTTAAATATAATGCCTATTAGTTAAATAACTCAGTAATATATTCAAATAACATAGAGGTTTTCATTGAACTTTTTAATCTTGTTTAAATATACTTCAATATTATCAGAAAATACAAGTTGACTCGTCTGGTGGTGCAGGATGTATGCTTTCTTCCAGCGGATCCTGGATTGGATAAGAAGTTTGTTCTGGAAAGATGAAATGGAACTGACGCTGGTTGGGTTACAATACGCCGGCAAGACCACATTTGTAAACGTCATAGCTGTATGTGTGTATTTGTGCATGTTATAAGTTTGCTTTAGTGTGGTCAGTTCTGTGAGGATATGATTCCAACGGTCGGATTTAACATGCGGAAAATAACAAAAGGGAAAGTCACGATTAAGGTTTGCTTTCCGCAGTGATCCGAATCCTTTTCCAGATCTGGGATATTGGCGGGCAACCGAGGTTTAGGAGCATGTGGGAACGCTATTGCCGCGGTGTCAATGCAATAATGTAAGTCTTCGAGTCCTCCATTAGTCTAGGAATCTTTGTTCCATCTGTATGCAGACATGATGCTCTGAGTGGAACTTATGATGCAATCGACCTAATTAGCCCGTTTAGACGGGCACCTCCCTTTCCCGTCTAGATAGTAGAGCCTTTTGTGTGTTTCCCCGTAATTCTTAGGCATCCCGACCGGGATTCAGTGTCTAAGGCTCCACACATCTTAATCAACTTTTTTAACTTTGAAATTCCTCCTACTAACGTCAGTGCTTGGTTCCATTACGATATTTTCTTGATATATGTCATCGTTTGAACTGGATTTAGCGCAAAGGCATATCCTCAACCACCCTTTACAGTTGGCTCTGCTAACTAGACCGTTGTGCAATCGCTACCCTGATAGCATTTAGTCGCCCAGAAATAGACATTTGCTAGCCCGTTTAACTTGCGGGCTGGTGCAGGGCTAGTAACCTGGCTGGCTGAGAGTGCTCCATCTGTGCGAGGAAAGTAGCTTTTCTGCTTCACCCCCTCCTTGATGCTCACCCGAGTGCATTTTCCACGTCACGCCTGGGAGGTCCCTCTGAGCTTACGTACGCATGCAGGATGCACGCACGCACTTTGTCCGCAATTCAGGCCCCTGTCTGGCGACTTAGATCGCCCCGGGCTACAACGCCCTCAGCTCGCCCGAGAAGGCGCGTCAACCTACTGTCCTCGTGTGGACAGTGTCCGCTAAAATTGCTGCGAAATCCAGTCAATCCAGTCGCCTGCGACCGGGCGACACGGCTAGCCCTGGGCGAGTAGAATGCTATCAGGGTATTAAGGAATGTTCACGGCAGCCTCGTTCATGATTTTCTGTCTCCTTCCACGGCGTCTACTGAAATGGTTTTGATTTTTCGAACAGTGCTTCAGTTACCTGCAGCTTTTTGGTGTACCGAAACCCTGGATAACGTAGGGTTGGCAGATGAATTTGGTAATGTGGATGACGGCCGACCCACAACCTTTTTGCCGGTTCATGAGAAGCTGGACTCTGACTGCACAGGAGTGGTTAAACTAGTTTCGTAAGCTGGGACGTTGCTAATCTCAGTTCACTTTGACTGGCAGACAAATTTGTAACTTAAAGCATAGCAAGCCGCATTTAAACACTAGCTTACACCCCTGACTATAACTCCTGAATGTTTGCAGCTATATGGTCGACGCGGCCGATCGAGACAAGCTTGAAGCCTCTCGCAATGAGCTTCATACCCTTTTGGATAAGTCACAACTCACAGGCATCCCTGTGCTCGTTCTCGGGAACAAACGTGATCTACCTGGTGCGCTGACGGAAGTGGAACTTATTGAAGCCCTAAACCTCAACACGATAACAGATCGTGAAATTTGCTGCTACTCGATTTCTTGCAAAGAGCAAGAAAATATTGGTATGTCGGTTTTTAATTCGTTTGTTCAGTTTTTTTGCTTAAATGGCTGCAGTCACTGTATTCATAGTCATGCGGTCCTGGCTCATCCGGGGCGTCTTTATTTATTCCAAATGACCAATCTCTGTGCCTTTATCTCCTTTACGCCTGAGGGTTATGCACTCCAGCCGTTTCCTTTTTGTCCTCTCATGACTTGTCAGGTGGCAAGTCAATGCCACCCTCCTCTGCAGTTTTAACTCTAAAATAATTCGTTCATCACTCCACGAGGCCACGACTTTTTGGTAAAGTGATACATACATCCCATTCATCTCTGCGTTGAACTGATGCCTGTCTCAGGGCACGGCCCTCGCCTGTTCAGATTTAAGGAAAGTTTTTTCGGTTGTGCTATCGCTTTTCCTCCTCCTTACTTCATGTGCTCCTCCGATCATATTTCTGTGGTCCACCTGTGGCCTGACTGAAGCCACAAACGTACCACAGTACACATTCCTTGTGTGAAACGGCTCGCTTCAATAGTCAAAAACTTGGCTCTCCCTTCTGGCGAGTTTCCCAACCTCATTTTCCCATACGTCCATTTGTTTGGCTTACGACGAGTTTACACTTTGTCGTCCGTCCCGTTTAATTTTCCTGTTAACTGGCTTCTTGGGAGGGTCGACACGGTTTTGACGGTGTTAAATTTGCACGCGAACGCCGGCTAATAAACGCCGACTGCGATAAAGATACTCTCTTAGCGTCAGGCACTCATGGTTCCCGGAACGTGGTGTTGCGGAAGTGGGATCGCTAAATTTGTCGGATTACCCATTACCGGCGTAAGACCAAAGGGCGTCCGATCTGTGTCTGAGTAGGATAAAGCACTCCTCTCACGGTCAAATTACTACCAAATGTATGCAGTCAGAACGGCGCCCTAGCCCGGATGGACGCTACTCCCGGGGCTCTCGCAAGCCTTAGGTATCAGTTGGCCCTCTAAGACATCTATATTGGCAAGAAAATCCTCGCCCCCTCATTCCTGAGCTAGGCTCTGCTCATGTAAAGCGAACGAAAACCGGAGATACTTCTCCACCGCTGTTTGAAGGCCATCTTCCGGCTGAAGCGCACCGACCTTGTCTACACTCACTGCAGCAACATCTCAGACCATCCAATAAATACCGCTGATGTTCCTCAGACGCGTTCTTCCTCCCCGTCTCCCCTCCCCATGAGTTTTGTGTTGCTGGCCACCTGAAGCCACCGAAAATGTCCGCTATATACTTGGCTCAAGGCAGTCCATCAGGACATAATGGGGGTTTTTAGGCCCATGCTATTCCATCTTCGTTTCTGGACAGGGTTCACCGAGGCCGCTGCCGTAGGTTTTTACGCATAGTCACACAGTCCGCTACACCAAGGCCCACCAAATTAGGAATGATCATAGTCCCGACGCGCATTCCGCATTTCCCCTAGGATTCAAATTTTACTCGTTTGAAAGAGGATATTTTGCTCTCCTTTCTGTCTTTTTCTCATTTGGGGCTACTCGGTCATATCTCGCTCGTTCCAGGCTGTCGTTACTGCCTTGTCTTCCAGGATAATTTCAAACCCTACACTACTTAAAATTGGTTTACAAACATAACCGGTATACCGAATGATAGAGAACACGCGCGGCCAAGGTAATTGAATAGAAGATGGGAAGGCGATCGCTGGGACCAATTGTTTATTTATCCGACGTTTCGAACTCTCACGCGAGCCCATCGTCAAGGAATGAAATACTGTACAACTCGTCGTGTATTTAGCTCACCTCTGCCGGTATAATATATAATACAGTAGTAGTTAAGCAACGTGTCGCATACCACTGGGACCCCGTCCGTCTCGTCGAGTTAAAATGACTGCAAGTAGTCGGCTGCCCAACGCCAAGATTATTTCAACCGGTCTTCTTGAGTGGTTACCTGCGCCAGAAACAGTACTTCGAAGCAGTCCAAAAGGTAGAATCCATGAACTCATTTTTGCGGGGCCCTGGTCTTCTTCAAACAAGAAATAGTTAACTCCGAGGGCTGAAGGCGGTTGGGGACTTCGTATCACTCACTCCCAGGGACTCGATGCAGTTGTGAGCATACCACACTTAGCCGCCTTCGATGCTCAATGGCGTGCTATGGAACAAGAGGCCTTTGCTGACTACCGCCAAATCGGCATACAGGCGCCGACGATGGTATGATCCACTTGGCCATAAGTATTGATTCCGCGCTTACTGGTCGTGGTGACAGGGCACAACAGTCACCAATGACTAAGCCTGAAAGAATCCTAATTGAGTCCACTAGAGTTATTCCTATCTGACTAGACAGACTTGTGGCAATAGAGA